AATGCTCACACACACACACTTGAAAATGCTTTCCACAAACCTTGCAGATAAGGCAAACTAATTATAGGCAAGAGGGACAAAGACGTGCAGGGAAAAAATAAAAAAGGAGTTGGCCTGAGGCAAGGGAACCATGAAAATGTGGACAGAAGGTCAAGTCTGTGATTGCCAGCCCAGCATGCTGTGCTCTTTCTGTGTCCTTGTCCACCAGTGCACCTGTGGGATTTCAGGTGGGAAGGGTACAGTGCTGAGATACAGGGAGGCAGCAATGCAGAGAGGGAGCTGAGAAAAGCTGGGAGGGGAGAGCCTGTACCTAGATATATGCTGCTCCTCTTGCAGTCAAGCTGTGGTGCATTGTCCCCTCTATCCTTTCCTCCCCTCTCAACCCAAAGAAAGTCCTTGAAATCCAAGCCACCACACAGCATGGTTAAGCTGCAAAGAGTGAGCTTATTCCTCCTAGGGAATGGAAACGAAATCGTCACATGTTAGGTATAGGCAGTGTTCTGGTTTGTGACATCCATGCTCAGTTTTGCTCTCTGCATGACGCCGAGTCCCATGCTCCGAGGCTTGCATGAAACTGAAGAGGGAAACAGTGAGCTTCCCCTCTCTCCTCTTGTCCAGATCACACTGATGCGAAGTGAACAAAGCACAGCAGCAAGGGGTGGTGATAGCTGGGGAATCTTTGCTCCCTGTGGCAGATCAGGCTCCCAAGCACCTGCCCAACACAGGGAACAGGCACCATCTGCTCTTCTGCTGCCGTTTACTTAAGGGCTGAGGGGACTTTACAGAATCCAATGCGATGTGTTAAATAACCGATTTGAGCAGGCACTGGGTTTCCTCCGTGGAGTAATGGTGTGGCACTGCAGGTTTGCTAGCAGCACTCCAGTTCTTGCTGGCAGCAGGCATCTGCTGTCTGATTAAGATTTGCAGGAGTAGGTCTCCAGTGGCCAGTTTAAACATGGATTTAACTTCACCGAGGTCAAAGGTATAACTTGAGGGAGGAACTTTCTCGTCCAAGATCTTTAGTTAATAGCATCCTGCTAATTATGACTGAGTGCTGGGCTCCTGGAGAGTCCCCTGCCAGCCCTCAGACATTAACCGCTGGCTCGGGGGCCATTTGCTGGGGAATGCCTAGCAGAGATGTGCTTTGTGCCTAAGCTGCTCTGCTGCTGCCTGAATTGCCTGAAAGGCTTTTGCATAGAGAGAGGCTGTGAGAGCTGCTGCTATGGGAGAGATCTTCATCTTTTCTGTGGTTTAGTCTTTTGTCTGCCAGCACTTGCGGCTGCACTAAACACAGACACTATTCTGCTCACCCCTCATCTCTGTATTTTTCAAAGGGGTGGAAAGAGCTCCACTTACCAGTTTGGTGGGTGATGGTTCAGATTTTTCTCTTTCTGGCTGTGGGAGCAGATTGGGCTGGGGAGGTTATTTCTTTGCACAATTCTCTTTACACATTGCAGATGTGGATCTTAGCTCATGAAACTGCACCTACCTACTACTTCTGGATGTGTCTTCTTGATCTGAGTTAAATCCTGTCCTTAGTGCAACATTTTGCCTCTCAAAACAATTCCTCCAGTGAAAACGGTGTAAACTTCCAGATTTACACCCCTGAGAGCAGAATTAATCTTTTGATTTTGAGCTGCTGCATTTCTGTTGTTTTTTTTTTTTTATATTGTCAGCTTAATGGCTGCTAATCTGTGGTTGGGGAAGGTAGAGAAAGTACAGAATCCAAGCCTGCATGTTAGTGCAGTAAATCTGTCCATTATATGTACAAACAGGTGATTTCTGCACAAATTTAAAAGGGACCACTGGGATATAAGCTCCACACAGCCACTAGATGATGTGCATTTTATACAGTGCATCAGAGAAAGCTAAAGAATACATTGCTCAGATGTGCAAAATTAGCAAAGACCTGAAGTTGCACGTAATATCATATTGAAAGAGAAGCTTGGTGGGGAAGGTTGGAGAGAAGGAAGGAAAATAAGGAGGGGAATGAGACAAAGGAAATGGAAATCAATCCCTTATCAGTAAACTGGCTGCATTTTAGCTGGAAGGTGCTGTGGTTACGGAGAACTCACAGGATGTGTAGGTGACTGCAGAGAAAAGAACATATGCTGAAACATTACGATTACTGCAGGATCGGACCAGGATAATTTTTCTTCTGTGTTTCTAGCTGAAACTCTAAACACAACAACAAGAAACCCACACCAGTAAAGAGAAAACTGAGAGGAATTTAAGGCAGAGAGACGTATGGAGGTGGATTACACCTGAAACAAAACTCTTCATAGAGCTATCAGTGCAAGGGGAGGCACAGGGAGAGGAAAGGAGCTGTTGTTTGCTGATCTTGAATAAATGTCAGAAACACAAACACGCGCTTTTGAAGTGTAAAGCAGGAGCTGGTCTCACAAAGGCATCTGTTTGCTGACAAGGCTTGTGACCACAAATGTAGTATTGTCCTTTCCAAAGGCAAGAGAGGAGAGACAAAGAAAGCATGGCGTGAAGGAGTAGGCTGGGTTTATTTTTCCACCAATAATACCACTAACAGGACAAGATGACATGATCATAGCACCAGGGCTGGTCATTGACCTGCTTTCCTGGAGTGCCGTGCTGGGGACTGTCTGCAGAAGGAGAAGGAGCAGACACTGTTGGTATTTGTAATGAGGTGTAAACAGGTGTCCAGCAAACATGGACCCAGAATTACAGTGCAGAGGCCAAAAAAGCCTGGCAAAAAACCAATCCAGTCAACCCATCAGAAGAAATAAGGAAGCCCAAATAACTTAACCATGTTGTAAAAAATAACTGCCTTTGTACAAAAAGAAATTTGCCTTAGAAAAAAACTCAACAACAAACAGCAACATAAACACCAAAACAGAAGAAAGAGAGAGCAGGTGGCACTCTGAATTTCACATGGATCTGAGCAGCTGCTTGGAAGAATAAATCTGTAAAGGCTAAAGTTTTGCCTTAGGCAGCAAACACACAGCAGTACAGAGAAGCACTGGAAGGCAGTGTTTAAAATCTGTACCACTGGTGTGGTAGTGTTCTTGCCAAAAAGGTGCATGCAGCATATTTCAGGTAGGTGCAAAGCACCAAGGTGATTTGTTCCCTTAGCACAAACCAAAGCGATACATGGAGATCAATTAAAAATATAAAGAGATGTATAATCCTCATTTGGATTGAGAAATGGATCTTAATGCAAGGCTGCAAAAAAATAAGAAAAACTCCCAGCAACTTGAAATATGAGGGCTTGTTTTTTAAATGAGCCTCCCATGGAGCAAGGGCATTTTGATGAGACAATTTTGTCATCCCCTAAAAGCAGAGTAGACAACTGGGCATGAGAGCAATTTCAGATTTCTATCAAAATAGAAATGTGTTAGCACTGCCAAGGCCATGGCCAAGAGAAGTCTGTGAGGTATGTGCAGTGTGAGCACAGCCATATACAGTGTCTGTGGCTGTGCCTGCACTGGCTGCTTCTCCAACTAAAAGCCCCTGAAGACAGCTGTGACATGATTTACAGGGCTGCAACTGTGTTTCCCTGGCACTTGGTAGTCAGTGCTGGACTGGAGCTCGAAGGAGCTGGGCAGGAACTTGCCTGTCTTGGCTCCCTGACAGGACATCCCAATTAACCTATGAGTCACAGTTGTGTTTCTCTATTCACTCCGACTTTTACCACGTGTTTTGGTGAACCACAAGCGTCTTGCATGGTTTGAGGCTGCTTCAAATGGACACAGGACACAGCTGAGCTGTCACCTCGAAGTTTCCTCTTTCTGGGGATGAAGGGTGCTATTCTCCCCCTGCTCCCCGCTCCCTTGTGGGACTGCTGTGAGGAGGGGGTTGCCAATGAATATAAAAAGCTGAGGTTTTCACATGCATAAGAGGGTACGTGGAAACATTTGTCCTTTAGTCTCTTGGCTCTGGATAGTTTTCCCCTGCTCCAGCTGTCTGTGTGCCACTGGCATAGCTGGATGAGTGAGTGTCTCCTGCAGGGCTGTGGGAGAGAATGGAGGACTCTTTCCAATGGTGGTAGAAGCAGGGTTAGGACAATGCAAAGAATTTCTGTCACTCTTTCTGGTAAATGGCATTCAAAATCACTGTGCACCCCTTGCTCCGTTCTCTTCTGGGCACTGGGTTCCTTTTTCTTGGCTCTGAGGGATTAGCGTGAAAATGGGTAGACATTTTGGCTGGGATGACTGCATGTTTTGTAGGAATCACACTTTCCCTCTGCAACCTGCACCCATGGCACTTTTGGCTTAGTCTTGGCATCTCTCTGAGGCTAAAGCAGAAGCCTGGATGAACCAGACTGAAGAGTCTCTGCCACCAGCAGTGAGCAGTCAGTGTGGGCTGTGCAGGGAACCAGACTGTCCTTCCCCTGGAGAAGTCTCCTGAAATAACCATAGTCACAAATGTCTGTAGTGCTGGCTATCTGCTCACTGAAGGCCCATGATGAAGGCTTAGTTTCAGCCACGAGTCACCAAGCTTGGGCCAGCTGGGAGCAGAACGCAGGAAGGTGTGAAATGAGGGTGGGAAAGCTTGAATGTGTTCTGCACTGGATTGTCTGCCTTCCCCCACATGAATGGTCCCTGTGGCACTCACACAGCCTGGTGGGATGACAGATACATTGGCTTTTGGGAATTCTGTTGCAGGGGAACTCTCAGGAGCCTGGAGATGCTGGGCTTGTAGCAGCATCAAATGATTCTATGAGGAAATTAAACTCCTTTAACTCCTTTGTGAAGTTCTCATTGAACTCTGGCATCTGGTTGCAGCTGCAATGCTTATGATCATGGCTGTAAATGGGGACAGGACTATGGGGATTAGAATGAATCTGTGCAACACATGAAGCACAAGGATATCAACCACAGAAAGAAAAAATTATAAATGCCTACCACAACTACTGTGGGCTAGACAGTGGCCCAGAGGTTACAGTGCCCCCAGAGCAGCAGCTTGCATGAAAGCCAAAGGTATCAAGCATTCACTCACTGTCTCCTTTGCTTTACAGCACCTTAAGAATGACAAGGAAGATCTTCACGAACACGAGGGAGAGATGGAGGCAGCAAAATGTCAACAGCGCCTTTGCCAAGCTGAGGAAACTCATTCCCACCCACCCACCAGACAAAAAGCTGAGCAAGAATGAGACACTCCGGTTAGCCATGAGATACATCAACTTCCTCGTCAAGGTCCTGGGAGAGCCAGGCCTGCAGCAGACAGCGGTGGCAGCACGGGGCAGCATCCTGGGGTTCTTCCAGCAAGCCCCACACTTGCAGAGCATGGAGGGGCTGACACTGATTGAAAACTGTGGTGTCTCCTGCCCTGGCATGAGCAGCAATATAGTAGAGTGTTGGTCAGAGACATCATCTCCCTAGCAGGCAATGAGATGTGCAGTCTTGGTGTTAGTCTGATAGTCCCTCTCTTTACACATGATCTGTGGGTTGCTCCTCTGTGTATTGTGATTATTTATTTGTATTTATTGTTCTTCTTTTATTTGGTATGCTTTTTTATTTAATAGCAAAGGAAATCCTTGGTCACCCAAAAAACTGGAAGACCTGATGGAGAAGTTGCAGTCCCTGACAACTTGGATGGACTCACTTCTGTCATAGCAGAGTCCAAGCCAGAAGAGCCTACTGCCCAGATCTCCTCCATAAATCAGGCCATAGAAATTCATTCAGTGTTTCTGGCAGGAGAAAGAGATTATTGTCCCATGTTATTTCAAGGAAACACTACTGAGATGAAGAGTGATGATGGCACCACAAAATTTGTCCAAGGCAGACATCTGGCCTTAGTAGTAAAAGATTTTGAGAGATGTGGTATTTGATACAGTCATCTACGAGTTGTTCCAGGGACTAATTGCACTCACTCTTGAGTCTTGAATCTCATTTCCAGCTTGATTCTGTTTTCTGTTTTGAAAATACAAGTCCCAGCCCTTGAACCTAGCTACACTTTTCCCCATCAGACTGGAGGGATCCCTAGTGCCAGAGCAAAATGTGTTAAATAAAATTCAATCTTAGGTTAAAACAAAAGTGGCAGTTTAAAATTACAGAAGACACAGTCATAGATAAGTTTTAGTGGGTTCAGTAGGCAGAGTAAACCTCCTCTACCAGCAGTGACACTGTGTGTGTGAAGCAAGGTGCTCAGTTATGCTCCAGCTGCCTTAGGAGGCCATTGAAGAGGTTGGTGGCTAAATGTCTTTGGGAGAGAGGTCCTAGGAGAAAGGCCTCAATGATGCACTGTGAAAACCTTTGTGGAAACACCAGTGAGCTGTGCCCCTTCCTGTGCCAGGATGTAGAAGCAGCAGGAGCCTGTTTGGACCTGGCAGACCAGCTGTAGCTGAGGTTCTCCCATCTGGATCTGATCCCAAATGGGCTGATGGAACAAAGACAAAGAAATTGGTGTAAATGTCTTGCACTTGATTCAATGAGTCATTTCCCTGTAGGAAAAGCACCAACCACCATGCTGTAGGTGTCTGGATTATAAGCAGTGTAAAAAGAGGTTTCATGAAGGTGAACGTTGTGTGTTGTCCAGAAGAATCCTAATTTAATTTCCTTACTAAATTATAATCCATGTCAGCACAGGCCTGGGCTGATCATGTGGGTGGCAAAAGCAGCCCAGAACACCAGAAAGAATGACACTGAGTTTAAGAGGAACAGCTTCCTCGTTGGATCCTGCTCCCACTGACACAAGTGTTTTTGATTTCCATGTGGCCAACATAGATGTCAGGGCTTAGAAAAGACAATTGTTCGTGAGTGGTGAAGAAATGTAGCTCCAGTAGGTCCCTGGGCTGTTTGTGTTAGTTCATGAGACAATGAGGTGCCTTCAGAAAGCAGAGATAGGGTTTGTGCATGCAAAACGTACATCCCTTCTGCATAAGGGGATATGGCACCTAAAGCTAACCTGCCTTTCCAAGTCTCACCAAGCACCAGATGCTCCAAAGAAGCCAGGGCTGGCTCCTGCTAAGGGTGTATTGGGCTGTGCTGGGCATTGACAAAGACCAAGCTCTGGCCAAAACACAGCTCATTCCATCCAGGGCTGGTGATGTGAGGTACAGGCATGACAGTGGACAGATTCTGACCAAAAGAAAAGGGAAATAAAAAAGCTGAAAGGGTTTAGGTTGATTTAGTTTTGTTTCTGAACACTCCTAATAGTCAGTCTGCTTGCCCCTGCGTTTGTGAGCTGTCAGGACTGCACTGGAGAGCAGCTGAGTGGAAAGACACTCAGAGCCTTTTGTTCGGTTCGTTTCTCCCTGCCTCTGCCCACTTTAATGTGACTAAATGGAGCCACAGCCTTTTCTGCACAGCACCTCAAAGGTAATGAGCCAAGTCCTCCTCCCAGCTTTCTGCTGGCTAGCTAGAGATACAGCAGGACAAATTAGTCCAAGTAAATCAGAGCACTTATTGGAGAGGTGTGGTGGAGCTATTTGGTCTATCAGTCACTTGCTATCCTAGGAAACACATGTCACCAAGGCAAGGCAAGGCATCTTGTGAGCAGCTGTCACCCAGGGAAGGGGAAAGAAAACCTGGCAATTTTGTAACATAACACGCTTGTTGTATTTTCTATGCTAAAAACCTTCCTTTCTTGTTATTGCTTTGGTTCATATCAACGCTTTCTTTGATCTCCTTTCAGTTTAGAGCTCCTTACTCTCACATTCAGCAAGTATTTCACTAGATCTATCTTCTCTCTACCAAAGATTTATTTTTATTTTTTTGGTCAAGTTTCTTCTTTGTGGTTTGGGGATTTCTTATCTGTATGATCATGAACAGATATAGTGCATGTATACATCTAATATATTAAAAATAAATTATTTAATAAACTGATTTTTGTCTTTCTAAAGGTCTCTCAAATTTTGTTTTACATTTGAATGGCATTTGGTAGAGGATCCTAAACACATTACTACGTAATTTCCAATAGAGGATTGTTCCACTCTCTCCTACTCAAGAGATAGAAACAACATTACCAAATGATGCAGAATGACAGGAATTCTCTGTTCATTCCAGTTTCCTACACTTTTTGGTTGAATTTTATTTCAATCTACATGCTAAGAGAATTTTGACCAGTCCTTGAAAAAGACAGAAAAATAAAATTTAATTGTGCAACAGTGTTGTTTTTCTCTTCCAAATATTCACAATGCAAAAGATCTTAAGCAACTCCATTAAAAAAAGCATAAATCACTCTAAAGAATTATTTTGGACTCAGAATCTAATCTGGAGATGTTCAGACAGGCACAACATACAGATTCAAACAGGAGTTCAGGTTCAGTTGTAAAATTTAATTTGAAGTTGAGGGCAGCTTTGGCTGTAAAGCAGCTCTTTCTGGCTAACAGCTGGAGGCAACTACCTAATACCCAACTGAATATGAGTCTGAGAGTGGGAGAGGAAGCACTGGGATGACAGATGCAGAAGTGGTGAGGAGGAGATGGGAAATGACTGGGACACCGAGCCAGTTTCAGTAGGATTGAGTGTATCTTTAGGAAGTTTGCTGACCACATCAAGATGTGTGGGGCAGTCACAACTGGAGGGAAGGGATGGGACATCCAGAGGGACCTTGACAGGCTTGAGAGGTGGAACAATGCAAACCTCATGAACTTCAACAAAACGAGGTGCAAGGTCCTACATCTGGGCCATGGCAAACCCAAACCAGCTACAGTTTGGATAGGGAAGAAATTGAAAGCAGCAGTGAGGAGAAAGA